GGTAAATGTAAAAGGAAGAACTTGGACAGCAGCTCTGGCAATATTGGAAGTGGGCTAGATAACTGGGAAATGACTAACTTAAGTGCAAGAAAAGAGGCTGAGACATTCTTCTAAAATAAAAAAAAGTGCAAAGTCCGTAAACACAATTAAACTGACTGAAAGACTAAAATTGGGGAAATTAATCATGCATCATTGCGTAGAGATGTTAATGAGCTCTTGAATTTCAGAGCAAGAGAGTTAAGAGACTGGAGCAAGTTGGAAAATAAAAAAATGTGCACATATTGTAATTATTAAAGGGAAAATAGACACTAAGGGCATTTTAACGTGCATAAAAATAAGGAAGGATATAGAAGCTTATATGAAGCTTACCATGAATTTGTATCGAGGAAAAATAGTGAGGTCTACTCGGATGTATAAAATAAGAAAAAGGAAAGCAAAAGCCCAGTCAGATCATTTTTGTTCACTTTGATGAAGGGTGCCAGAGGTTGTGAATATTGGCATTATGAGGTATCTGATAAGGGAATGCAGAACAAGGCCACTATGATGTTGTAACGCCCAGTTTTACCAGGAGGTGGCAGCAGACTTTCAATCTATTTTGTGGCCATTTCAAACTTTACAGAGAGGCGTAATAGGAGGACATCTGTGCTGTTTCAGGAGGTAAAGTGAGCCAAGTCCCGTAAGATTATAGTGTATAAGATACCAAAACACTTCAGCTCTCTGCTTTCCAATGAAACTGTGGAGTGATACTCAATGAGTGCTTCAGACAGGTGGGAGTAATAAATATGCTTTGTAAATAAATAAATATAATACAGTACTGTCAATTGGGACACAATAATCTACTCTTGACAGCCTCAGGGTTACACAAACAAAATGTTGAATTTGTAATTATATACAACTAGAAGAAATGACCAAATATTCATGTTTGCTATTACCAGTTAAAAACAGTGAAATAACAGAACATTCAGGAGGTTTACATGAAAACCTTTATTGACACCGAAAAGATGAAGAGAAGCAGAGCATGAAGAAGTTGACATCATTCAGCTTATATCTGTATGTAGCTACAAAGCCAGGATTAGACTCTGCTGTAGACACAGACACAGTCCTTCCTGTTGGACTTCTTTGAAGT